AGATAAATGATTATTTGAATATTTTCTTCCACAAAAGACGGGACCTCATACGAGAATGAATCCATCCATCTTCAGTTTTTCAATAAAAAACAAAATATATACATGTATATTTCTGTGCAGAATTCAATCTATAGTGAAAACCTTTTAATGAATATCGACACAGATTACTACCCTATATTGTTAATGTAATCAAAGGTCTGTATTTTAACAAAAATTTAATCAAAACATTTGTGCATCACGCGATAAATAGTCTCATTTGAAATGGTTTGATGATGGTGAAATCTTCTCCTACCCAAGCAGACAAACTTTTGAGAAAACGCGTTTAAACGCACAGAAATTGGCCTAAAATCAGCAAAAAGTGGACGTTTTTGGCTCACATTTGAGGTTCCCGACTGTGAGCCAAAAACGCCCATTTATCGCCCTTTTTGCGCGTTTAAACGCGTTTACACGTATACAAAAAAGAGAAAAAGTGGTCGTTTTTTCATACTCGGGATGCACGATCATGATTACAGTCACGTTTCTTGAACTGGAAAAACTCAACAACTTTTTTCTCTTTTTTGTATGCATGTAAACGCGTTTTTTGTCTGAAAATGCGTTTAAACGCACAAAAAGGGCGATAAATGGGCGTTTTTGGCTCACAGTCGGGAACCTCAAATGTGAGCCAAAAACGTCCACTTTTTGCTGATTTTAGGCCAATTTCTGTGCATTTAAACGCGTTTTCTCAAAAGTTTGTCTGCCTGGGTAACGGTTCGATAAAATTTTCTTCGGGCTACACGTTGACATAATTATTTTTCTCATTTTTTTTGAATATACCATTCGCTCATGTTTCTAAATTCATTAAGTACATACAAAAAATATTGTTGTATAACATTTGAATAATTCTTTACCAAGTCAGAAATAGACAGATATCAGACTTTGACTCATCAAGTTCGAACAAATGAAAAGAATTGGATGAATTTTTTTGTTTTAGTAATCTGAATATTATATTTTCTTCTAAACTCTATCGAATCGTTAAGAGAAGACTTCATTATCAAGTTATTTAAGAAGCACTTTAAAAGATTGAAGCTTCATAACAAATACAACTTTTTCGTGTGAATTTCAGTTTATATCTAATATTTATAAATGGGTTATATACATTAATTTATGCAGCGTACTTAATTCTTTCGAATGATACTATTATTAGTGCAACATCAACAAATGTTTTGATTAATTCTTTATGAAAATACACGTCTTTGATAAAAAATTCTCCACCGAATTCTCCACCGATTTCTAAATACTTTTGTTGGACAACAAAAGATGAGTTCTTCGTCCATTTATGTGTCATCGTTCTTTACTTACAATGTATTCTTAATTGATACAATTTAATAATCATTGTTTGAACATTAGGAACAAGTCCACCAAGTAATATATATAAATCATCAATAGTTTGTAAAATAAGATTAATATTTCGAAGATTATTATGAGATCTCAATGATTTGTTTAATAAAAGTCCATAATAAATTTGATAATTAATTGTATGAATAGAAGAAATTTGTTTTTCATTAAATAATAATTGATTAAATAATATACTATATGTTTCAAAATCATCTATATCTAAATAAGATCAAAAATATGTTCTCATTTTTATAGAATCTCTTTAATAAATACATGCCTTCATTTACATCAGGTTTTCGAATAGTTATATGAAGATATTGAAGTTCTGTTAGATTTTCAATATATTTATTTAGATGTTGAAGATCACTTTGTGAGCAATCAGTTAATGTAAGATGTTTTAAATTACTAAACATCGAATGAATTACATGTTCAGATGTAGAAGTAAAATAATAGTACGTTAAACAAGTAACATTTTCATTATTCAATATGAGTGATTTTGGTCGTAAAGGAGTTTGAGAATGAGAAAATAATTTTAATAAATAATTGTATTCATTATTTTTTATTCCATCAATTTTTATTTTTGTACGATAATCTAATATCATACAATGAAGACGTTGTTCAGGTTTCGATGGTGTATAAAATGCATAAAGAATATCATAGGAAGATAAATAACGACAAATGAAAAGTAAAATTTCATCTGGTAAATCAAGTAAACAAGTTATACTACGACGAATATGTTTTATTGATGGTGAATCGAATTCTAATAAATCAAATAGCAAAAAAAAAGAATTGTTTTAAATAGAATAATTACTTATGTCGTCTAGAAGACGTTTTGTATCTTTATTCATCCGTATTTTCTGTATAACAATGCTTCAAAATAATCTGAATAATCGTTTATCTTTTTTCTCTTTTGTTAATAAAATTTTTCATAATATGAATAATGGAAATAAAGATTTGTTTGACCATTGAATATATATGATGACCTGAATGACTTTTTGTGATGAAGACAAAAATGAAATATATGATTGGTGAAAAATTCATATGATAAAGAGTTCAATCATTCTGAAAAAGTGATTTTCTTTCGTGGTAACAATATGTAATGTCTTTTGATATGGTTTTCTATAATAATAATGAGGATAGATTGAATAAACTTGTTCTTATAGATTTTATTCATAGACGAATCTTTTCTATGGTCATCTATTGAACTCTAATATGTTATTAAGACAGACTTAAAACATTTCATTCTAGATGAGTATAAAAGCGTTATAAGACGCTAGTAGATTTTCATTATATTACATGTTATTCTTGATTTTATTCATAATTCAACTTATGTTTAGTGTTCTGAGACTAAACTAAATACAAGAAAAAACACCCGTTTGATCCATTATTACAATAAGAATTATTTATAAAAAAAAATCATCGAATATCTGATTGTGATTCATTTACAAAACATATTTATTGTTACATTACATACAAATTCAGATAGTTTTATTTCAATATTTAAACAATTAAAATCTAATTGGAATTTTTCAAAAAAAGAAAGATGAACGTAAAAAGGATATTTATGATAACTTAAATCAGTATTTTTGAATAGTCCAATCCAACATTTTACGATTATTTCATATCGAATTTAATTCTCCATAACTAAATTTTGTTGAAAAATTGTTCAATTCAGAATAATAGATTTTTTTTTCAACATTATCATCTCGACTATAAATATACTTTTTAATCAATGAATAAAAAAGATTTTTCTAATGAAAAATAATAATTCTAAATATTGAACTTTTGAAAATTAATGAGAGAGAATTAACAACATTTCGTTTTCATCATTCAAACAACGTTGAAACAATTAAATGACGAATCGAAGATTGGATTATCGAATTTATGGAAGAAATAGCTAAAACAATTTAATCAGCGATTATTATTTTTTTTAATAAAAATACTTATGTGTTTCTTTTTTCATATCAATTGATTACCAACATCGGACGAAGATAAGTTAGATCTCCGACGTATTTCTCTGTGAAAATATTATACTGAAAATACCCATACCGAAAACGTATATATACAGTAGTTAATTTACATTTGCAAGAAGGATGTGCTAGATAGCATCATAAACGAATAAACTAATTTCTGATGATTACGACATTTTTTTTTTACATCCGTCGATCTCTAATGTTATTTATGATTTTTCTACTGTCGCAGTGTTGTATAGAGATTAACTTGGTTTGATTTTCTGCATAAACAAAATAAATGTTTTTGAACGATCTGACGAAAAATTTTTTGAAGCAACCGAAAATATATAAAAACTGCTATAAATAATAATAGGGGTGTTGTTACAGGTGTCATCTTTTTCTTAAATAATTATTCATTGTTGTAGAAATTGTCAAATATTCTTTGTTTATTCATAATGAACATAAAATCTGAACAATAGCTGTGTAAACTAATTCGATTAGAACAAAATAAAAATATTGATTTCGCTGAACAAAATTTGTATTTCGAAATAATATTTTTAAATGAGATATATAAATGATACCATTTTATTAATAATTATTAGAATTTATTATTGAATAGTTTTAATAAAAAGTTTTTTTTTAACCATATGCGAAGAATTAGCATGATAAATAATCTTGTCAAAATATGAAAAACATCCGATGAATCTAATTAATTATGTATAATAAACTTCGTTTTTTTTTCTCAAATCGCAGTGCATAACAACGTGTACATAGTCACTTAGTAATAATGCAATAAACAGATATTTTGTGCGTATATTGATGATAATACGATGATTATATGGCGATACATATGTAAATAAAATAAACGAAGTGAAAAAGAAAACAAAATGAATCTGTTTCATTAAACTCATTTATATTATTATTAAACGACTGTAAAATTAAAAAAAATAATTTGATTTTCATTGAGAGAAAAATTATATAAATTAATACCAAGGATATTGTATTAAAAGGTTTCATTGTTGATCAATTTATGAATTTGAATAAAGATATTGATCATTTCATATGTCCAACACTTGAAAAATAGAAATAGATTAATAAAATTAATGTTTTTTTTTTCTTATATTTTATTGGAAAATATATGAAGAAATATTTGAATTAGATTTAAAATAAAACATCTGTCATTTCTTAATTTCCTAATTGATTATTTAAAAACATTAAAACATAAATTAGAAGAATAAATGAAAGAGTAGATAATAGATTATTGATGGATAAAAAATTGATTGTGAAATCACCGATGCTTAGCCAAGTGCACAATTTGAACATCCAGACGTTTCATTAGTAAATGGTGAATACGACATAGATTGGAATACTTATAGCACAAATAGTATTCAGAATAAACACAAAAAAGAAATAATAAACTTACCATGATTATTTAATTAAATCTTGAAATCTTAACTAAGATTGAATGACGATTTGGATGATCTAAAACAAGAACAAAACGGTTTAATTATTATCAAATAACATAATAAAGAAAGACATATATCTCTCTTTTAATGATAGAAAAGTGAATGTGAATTAGGTGTGAGTGTTGATATTCTGTTTAATCACATATACCCTTGGTGAAGTTATATCTATTGGTAGATCATTTGAAGAAGCTTTCAACAAGCTTTTAGAATGGTTAGTGAAGATGTAACTGGTTTTGATTCATATTCAAGAACAATTACAGATAATGTAATATTAATTATATATAATTATATAAATTTATTTTATTTTATTATAAGAATTAATTAGTCCAACAGATAAACGTGCTTTTATATTGGCAACAGCTCTTCCTCAATGTTATACAATTGAACATTTTATTTGAATGAACAAAAATTGACCGATGATTTCTTCATAAATTCGTATCAATTATTCAATGTATTGCAGATCATTCCGATTCAGCTATTATTCAATATCGATCATTTTTACTTCAAGCAAAACCTTTAGGTTTTTCTGATAAACAAATTGATACCGTTTCTGGAGAATGGCCAGCACAAACAAATTATCTTTATTTAAAATATCATGGCAATAATAATGATACACCAATTCTTGAATTTGGATATAGGTTTTATTGAATTGGTAAATAATAAGATATGAAATTTGTCTTTTTCTTTTGTAAGTTTGACAGTTTATATTAGAGAAAATGTTATCAAGTGATAAAGATTTTCGTTTTATGGGAATAGCAAATTTAATGAATGAGCTACAAAGAGAATCATTTATATTACATAATGATAGTGAACATCGAGGGTATTGGTGGGTTTGGGTTCAGTGGATACGAATGATTACGGCGACACTTACACCATCATACAGCGCTTGCCTCTGTCTATGATTTATTTGGGATATGTTCAAATTAGAAAGATAAACTCAATTTAGCATTGAAAAATTATAAAAGAGTATACGAAACTCATCAAAAAAAGTTACCACAGTATCATGTCTATATGGCTCGTTCACTAAATCATTTAGGCATTATTTATGAAAGAAAAGGAGATTTGGATAGAGCTTTGAAGTGCTATACAAAAGTAAGTTTGATTCAAAATCGACATTATCCGAGTGATCATCTAGAAAAAGTCCTGATATTGGAATGTATTGGTATAGTCTACCGAGCTCAACAAAAGTTAAATATGACGCTCAACTCTCTTTCTCGGGCACTCGACATGTACCAGTGTATTTTATCAACTTTACATCATTAGATTGCTCAATGTTTTGGCTATCTCGAACTGGTTTATGAGGAAAAGAATGAATTGAAAAAAGGACTCGATTATTATTGTCGACAGTTAAAAATGGAAGAGCAATGTTTATCAAACCAATCATTGGCATCTCTTCGGGTGTACACTAGATTGTTCGCGTTCAGATGATGTTGAATCATCTGGATGAGGCTTGGAAATTCACAATCCTTATTAGAGATGGCAACTTTGTATACTAGGTGCAACAAGTTCCATGCTGTGTTGCGATTTTATGAGCAAGCAGTTGAGCATGCTCGTAGGTGTCTCTCATCGAATCATATGAACCTGGCGTTTAGTCTAAAAAATCTTGGCATATCATTTCCGTCTATGAACGAAGTGATGCAGGCAAATGACTATTTCGCGGAAAGCCTCTCAATTTATAGAGTAAACTATGGATCAGAACACGTCGCAATGAAGCTGTACAGTAGCAACGTAGCTCCAATGCCACTATTCGCAAGAACGAATTTCTTTCTTCTGAACAATCAACACAGCTTCATCAATATGTCAACCTCTGAGATTGTTAGAAGCACGGACAGCACATGTATGATTGTGTAATTGGTTGCTTTACTCGGCTCTAAAAATCGATCTTCCAAAAGCTTGAAATTATTGTGCGCATCTGGGTGTGTTCAAGTCACTCGGTTTTGTTCTATTATCGTTTCGTTCCAGTTTTAAAGGATTTTTTTTCTGATTTTACATCAAAAACTAATTGTAAACGTGATTTTGGGGATTGACTATAGATGTTTTAATATTTCAGAATTTAGCAGCGAAATCCTATCTTTCAAAACGTTACTAGGGCACTTTGTAAACCTTTTTCTTGTTTAATTGTTGTAGATAAACTTGTTATTTAATCTTATTTGACAGGCAACAAGCTACAAAATTGTCCCACAAATTCTCAAAGCTTTACTTCGTCGCTAAGAAACTTTTCTTTTAGTAAAATTTTGGTTTTTCTTGCCAAGAACTACCGGTATGTTGATATTTTATGAACCGAATATATTGTATTAGTGGAATTGAAATGATATTTCAAATTAGCATAAAAAAGCGAATCAAATAGTGTAGCTTCTACAATTTACAGACAGTTTCGTATACTCGACCACAATTGTGATTCTTCATTATTTGCAAAAAGATGGAAAAACTGCGAAAATGTCCGATCACTGTAAAAAAAATCACATCACTTGATTCACTTTTTGATACTGATTCCGAATATCATTTCGATTTTATTGAGAAACTGTTTAAATATGGGTCGGTTTGAGGTAGAAAAGTCAACATTTCAGTAAAAGAGAAGCTTTTCCTCCACGAACTTGATATTAGCTTTTATAGCGCGTTGTCTATCAGATAAAACCAAACAACAAGTTTCTCTAGCAAAATTAGCAAAAAAACAGCAGCTATCTATAAAAATAGTCTTAGTATTTTTTTCGAAAAGTAGAGTTTTTTCAGACAAAGATCGTATATTTGGAAAATCAGAGCTTCCAAGTTTTTAGCATTGTTTGACCTGAAACCATGTGTTTCCTGCTCAACACGGCATCTTTTTAATTGACGTATGATTCAGAGCCAGAAACGGAGCAGACTTTTAGCTCTCCGCTTCGCCTCCCTCACTTCCATCTTGATTGTTTTTTATTCACTACCTCGTTAAGTATTTATGAGATATTCTGTCCTTTGATCATATCATTTGTTTGACTTCATACTAGAGAAAAAAAAACACAACAATAGAAGAGTAATAACGAATATAACTGCTCATTTAATAAACCTTTTTATTATTCTCTCTAGAACAAAGAAATAAAAAATTAATAACAGTTGTGGGACGTAAATTACGTCGTCTTCGTTTGATAAATTCTCCTGCTACCAAAAATTCTTTGTCGACAGCAGCTGAATCGTGTGTTATTAGCTATATGCGACATGGCAATTTAGAGAAATCTGAAAAAAGTTTTCGTGTTCATGTCAAAATAAGGATGCGTTTGAACAGTCTTTATCTAATTGGAAATCGATATTTATATCCATTTCATCTTTTGTTGCTTCGTCATCCATTAACTATTCAAGAAATTCTTTCCGTTGGATCATTTTCAATATAAACTGTTGCAGTCAAGATCACTTTCGGCAGACATGCAGCGCAAGCACAACAACATTTTGCTTTTTAAGGTGTTGTTAGTAGCTGTAGTCAAGCTAGTTTTAGACGAAGCAATGAACACTCATAAAGCATGTGATAAAGGACATAGCAGGTTTTTGATAGATTGTTTATATCTAGTTGGACACAACCAAAAGATTTGATGCCAATGTTAAAAAATAGGAAATTTTCTGTCAGTTTAATGAAATGTCCTCTGCTAAATTATCGTTAGACGCATTTTTATAACATCAAAGTTACTGAATACTGGAAGAAAAAAGGCAACTTCTCAGCTTCGAAATTATGACATTTATAAATCCAATTTAGCCAAATTAGGTTGACTTAAAATTTGATTTTATTTCACCCAATAACCATAGACATATACTTTGTATGTCTCCTTTAAGTAGTAAAATTTTGTGCAAATGTTTGGCTTCATATCTACAAAATAAATATGCTTCTGTCATTTTCTTACTGTGTTTGAACAACGTATAGAAGCTATGTAACACATAAAAGCTGCATTGGATTCTAGTAAAATCCTGAGTAGTGGATGCTGTTGTGGGAGGCAGCAATTTTGATATTACAAAGAAATGAAAAAGCGTTTATTGAAAAAAATAAATTCTAAAAAAAATTTTCTGTTTTATTTTCTTCTAATTACTCTTTATCTATTTATTTTCCATGATAAAGAAAGAAATCTATAGAGACCATACATATTTAACGAAAAACTTTTATACTTGTACGAAATATAGAGTATATAATCTATTGCGAAGAGACTCTTATCTTGAGTCTTTATATAAATTTTCGGTAGTTTAGAAAACAGCGTTTCGATAGCAACTTTTTAGCGAAAAACACTGTTTGCGTTCAAATTTATTGTTTTTATGTGAAAAATACTGAAACGCGTTTTTCTTAATTGGCACTTCTTTGTATTTACCACTCTTTTTTTCTCATTCAAAACGTTACCAATAAAGACGGTTTGAATCAGTTTATTGTTCTGTCGGCATGCACGTTTCTTTTTGATGCATTCTAACATAATTTTAACCGTTCTGTCGCTGAGAAAAATAAACTTCTTTTTAATGTATTCTAGCATAATTTTAACCGTTCTGTCACTAAGAAAAAGAAATTTCTCTTTACCAACCTGTTACTAACACTTATTTTCAATTCTTTGTGTAAGTAGACAATATATTGATTCACGAACACGTTTAGCCAATGATTGGGTATATATTTTGAAGAAGAATACCAGGTTTGTGAAGTAAGGTCTGCTATCACATAGAGAAATATTTTTCATTATCATACTGAAAAATCTATTGATTAAGAGAAAATTAAATTTTCTTTCTCTCCAACAGAGTGCTTTTTTTTCAGTAAACAAAATCGTTTTAACAAACTTATAACTTTAACCACTTGTATGCTTTTTTTTTCAAGTTACTATTATTTATAGAATTTCGAAAAACTATCAAACCAAAATTTTGACCTGTTTTTTTTCTTACAGAATCTGTTAGATTGACAAACGTTGCATAGGTTCTAAACTGTTTCAACGATTGAATACGTGTTCTCAGAGATATACTAATTCTTCTATTAGGTATATTTTGACATGTTCAACGCCAATGTGATGAAAACTAAAAAAAATGGTAGTTTACCGCGGCAAATCGCATTTTTTCGATTATATTTTTCAAAGCAAATCAGTCGCTTCCACGTGCATCAAATAATTCAGGCACACTAGATCCATCATAATCATTAACACATGCTGAAATTGTATTCATACCTATATTCGTTTTCCAGCTTCTTCGTGTGGGTGTGGAGTGTATATGCGCGTGGGTGCCGAGAAAGAACGATGCTCATACTCACACACATATTTTCATTCTCATCCGTTCTCAAAATAATTACAATCTATTCAATTGAATTGAGTTTTGATGTTTTTATGAGATATATTCTTTCTTAGTTGATTTGGGCTTAAAATAGTTATTTTTACAAGATTGTGAATTCCTTTATACATAACATTATTGTTTGCTTTATCTTTTGCTCACTGTTTTGAATTTCTTCAAGAAAAATTGCAATAAAAAAATCACTTCCACAGCGATATGACAGAAAAAAAAGCATTTTCTCAACTGGTTGTGCAATGTTAGAAAACATATATCAAGCAAGTCAATATAGTGTTTCTACCATTCAACATTTGTTTCAAAACTTCTCAACTCAATGGTTAATAAAACTTATTGCAGTATTTTAATCTTCATTTGTATTACTATTATTTGTTTATTTATTATTAATCGTTATCCAATAAAATTATATCGCATATCATTTAGGCAAACTAGAAATGAGACAATAAAAATATTGCATACCTACGATGATACTGAAGGATGGATATCATCATCACTTTATAATGAACTTAACTCTTACATTACAGTTCGTAACAATAATACTCGTTACATTCAAAAGACTTTTATCACTAATGATGGAAAAGTAACAAATATTCCATTAAATTATGATTATATTAACTATATCAAAGATGATCATGACAAAACATATCCTTATTCATCATGGAAATGTTCCAGAACATCACGTAATGACTTAAAAGAAGATGACGAATATTGTATTTTAACAAATATTTATTATCAATCATCTACTGATCAATATTATTTTTTTCGAAATCCATCAACAACAAAAATAGAAAAGCAAAGAGATACATTTATGGTTTCTTATGGTGTTCTTAATTTAAATGTAACTGATAATATTGCAATTATTAAAAATCTAAATCTTGCAGCTATTTTGAAAAGACCACTTTTAGTTACTCATCCACCTGATCAAAATTATGCTCATGGTTTTCTTGAATCATGTGGTCCTCGTTTTTGGGTATTAGCCGAATGTCAATCACATCCATCTTATATTGATCCAACTAAAATTCAGATCTATTATACATCAAAAATACTTGATGGTTTCTCATCAAATTGGAATAATTATGTTCAACAATCGGATGGAACTTATCTACCTAAAAGAAGATGGGAACAAATGATTCAATCAATGTTTTCTATTTATCCATTATTAACATATAGATCATTCAATAAAACAACTGTTATGTTTCAGTATGTGTTATTTACAAGTTTTAAAGGTCGAACATCAGTTTGGGGTCATCACTATGCAGACAGATCAGTGAAATCATATCCATTTCCAACTATCAATTATCGTCGAGCTTATTTAGCTTATTCGGAATGGATATTAAATAATTTTAATCTTACATCAAAATTTCAATTAACATCAATTCAAGAAGAATTACAACATAAAAAAATATCTGAACACATTCCTATATGTGATGAAACATGTTCTATTCAACAACAACAAAATCATTCATCAAATGAATTTACTGGTGAATGGATTGTTGTTCTAAATCGTGCTGGTGCTGGTCGTCGTGAAATGATAAATGCTGATGAATTAGTTACTGCTTTGTTAAAAGCATTTCCTGATCATTCAAATCCATATTTACGTGTCTGGCCAAAACAATTTAATTTTGATGATAACCTTTATGAAACAGCACGTATGGCTCGTTCAATACGTTTATTATTTGGTGTTCATGGAGCCGGTTTATCAAATGCTGTATTTATGAGACCAGGTGCTATTCTTTATGAAGTCAATCCATATGGTTGTCGTCATTTATCATTTAACTTTCATCGTTGGGCTGATGTATTTAATCTTCAACATGCATTATGGATTCCATCACAAGGCAATAATGGGAGGACAAATAACTATTGTGAACGTGAATCATCGACAACATTAAATGTAAAAGAAATCATTAATGAAATGAAAAGTTTGCTTAAAGATGAAGTTGAATATCGAAGTGGTTATATAAAACGAGCATTAAAGATAATGACTGATATGTCAATTGTTGATCATCCACCATCAGGATTTGAAAACATTTTCTAGATTTAATTATTTTCCTTTTCTTTTTCTTTTTGTTTTCTGAATTATTCCATACGGAAAGTACTGAAGAAAACTCAAAAGTAGTTACACAGATATTCTGATTGCTTGTAACAAAGCTTAAAAAAAGTTTTCTCTTTATATAGTCTAATAATAAAAACAAGGCTCTAGTTTTTATAGCATATTCGATCATTCTGTAACTAATACCATAATAATAAAATTCCAATCAAACTTGTTTAATTATGATATGTGACGATTAAATTAGTTCATATGATCTTTGATATATTGAAATTTTATTATTATGATATTGGTTGAAGGATAATCCAAATATCATAGAAAAATAAACTATTGTTTTTTTCTATCAAATTATTTATGATGAAAGTTTATGTAAGCTTTTTATAATAAATTAGAATACGTCTGCCATTCCTTTTAACTGAGTATCTTCTGAATGACTGACAATTGTTTTATAAATTATCCAATTGTTTGACAACATTATCAATCTACCAAATGAATCGGATAAAAAAAAATGAGCACAATTCTTTTCTTGAACTCTATCACGCATGAATACGTAATCATTCTTTTATTTGAAATAAAATATATGATGTTTCATATAACATTCTACGTAATAAAAGAATTTTATAGAGTTGAAAACTTATATTTTCTTAAGGTAGGACAGTACAATAAGCATCATTGGTACCCATAATTGTATGGTCACAATGTTTTGGTTCGAATACTTTACATTTGTCTTTGCATGCTTTAGTTGTGCATGTTGTATCAACAAATGATTGAAGAAAAATTGGTTTACAACGTAAACCAGAACAACATGAACAAACACATGATAATCTACTACTTGGTGTTGTACCAGTTGGACGACGTGTTGTTGCTGTGTGACGACCAGTTGAAAAGAATTGACCATAAGTAGCAGCCAAACAAATAGCAAATAGGCACGAAATGAATAATAAATACTTCATGATCTGTACAAAAAGAAAATATCTTAGTTTATATGTAGATATAATATATCAGTTGCAATATCCGAAACTCTCGAATAGAAAAAGTTACCGAAATAACTACTATTAAACTTACTTTTTTCTTTGAATTATTGAGTTAAGTCTCCTTGAATATGCCTTGATACTATCGAATCAATGGTAGAAGCTATTGATTATATATATATATATCTGTATATATTGTATTGGGCAGATGATGTCAATGTGAAAACGACCACATGTTACTTTGATTATTCACTTAAATTTACATGGAATACAATAATATTTACTTTCGATATCAATAATGATAACAAAAATCGAAAAATCGATTCAATAAAGCAAAAAGACCTCAATCATTTTATTTTAACCGCTAAATTCAAGAATACATGAAGAAAATTCATTGACCAAGTGTCAAATTGTACTTTATTTTTTATAATGGTCAAGATATGCGAGATAATCAAGCTTTTCCTAATATTCAATATTCGATTCTTTTTCTTTTATAGAACATAAATGAAAAAGAAAGATTTTGATTTCTTTCTATCCAAAACGAAACATACTATTATACTTCAATTAAATCTAAAAAATAATTATGCTTTTATTCTAAAGCAAACAAATTTTATTTGAAATATTGAATTCATGAAGTAGTTGTGTGCAGAATAAAAAGAATAATGATTGAAAATGATAACCATGGCAGCAATCAAAATATTTCTTTTTCATTAGAAAGAATCTGCAACATATGAATTATTTTCTTTTTCGGTCAATAATGAAATATTAAATATTGTTGTTGATCAAAGAGATGAGTGTTTAAAGTAAATTAAAACTAAAAACAAATACTATTGATTTTTTTAGACAAAAGACGTTCTACGTGGTCTAACTAAAACAAAATCATATCCTATTAAGTAAAATATTTCAATGATTTCAATATATCAGACCACAGTCGTAATTTATGGATTTTCATGAATAATTGTGAAATATTACTGAATGTGGAGAGAACAAAGCTTAATAAAAATGGTTCAATTTTTTTCATGTGACAATACTCAACAGATTGGCAATAGAAATATATAATTGATTTTATGATAGATCGTCTAATCGAATGGTATGTTATACTTAATAAATTTAATCTAAATCGAAATTTTCTTATTAACAGTCAAACATGAACGGTTAAGAAACATGTGTAACTATGCACAAAATGTAGCATGACATACACGAATTATTTTTACATGACATATGTGTGAATCCGTTAAAAGTCCTACATACTGTTTTTCGAAGTGTAGTCAAAAACTGAAAGATATTATGAAGATTCAACAACTATCAGACATATATATACATAAATGCTAATAAGTGTAAAAAATTTTTAAAAAAGTGAATCAGATTTTTGAGTTAATATAGATTGATTCTATGAGAGAATGATCTCATGTCAATAGAAAATAAATAAGTAAATGTTGAGTGAAACACAACTTTTCCATCGAACAGTCGATGCATTGCAAAACAACTTGATATGTGCATATCGGTACAGAATCGCTTTGATGATAGTCCAGATAAATAAGAATTTGTTCTTGTTAACATACAGCATTTAGCAAAATTCGAATTGTCCTGCAAATACACAGAAGTAATACTTTAGAATTAATATGCACGATGCCTAGAAAACTTGTTGGTATACAAATACATGTGCTTTTTTTAAAGTTTCGTGTCTGACTGGGTTAGTATTTTTCCATCAGATCATGATGGTGTGTTTCAATAAGCACTATCTATAGCAGATCAATTAACCACAACTGTTATTATAGATGGAAATTCAAAATGATGTATGTTGTTAATATTCGATATGCTTCAAAAATGCTTCAGGAAAAAAGAAAGAAAATAGATATCGTTGATAGTACTGTCAAATGTTATCCTATGGGCTTATTAAATATTGTAAATGAACATAAGATGTAAGACAATTATCTTGTGTTTTGAGTTCATTCAAGTAGAAAAAAATTAAAAAAAGAAAAAACACCAAGTATTTTAAACCTTTGATGTCATATTATTAGTCATTTTCTTAATATTTCTTAGTCAAAAACAAATCTCTTCGGGCAAATTACAAATATGGAGTCGGTTTTATTATGAAAATAAAAGCTTGATTAGAAAATTAACCTTTATTGCTAAGAATTTTCACTATATTCACAAATAAACTTATCGTTAAGTTAGTAAAAATGATATTTTAGTAAATTATTTAACAAAGAATTTTTGTGCATTTACTTCAACAGTATAATCTGGAAGTATAAAATAGGATTGAATAATAAAACTAAATCGAATCTTTACTATTTACTTTAAACCGACATTACATTGATTGTTTTCTATTATAAATTTCGATTAGACGATTTCTTTGAAAATTTTTCTTTAATTTCGAATGATCTTACAACTACATTTTCAGTTATTAAGTTATAAATACCTAAGAAAATTTCTAGGATTATTATATTGTAAGTACAACGTTCAAAAGTAGAGTTTATATATATAGTTTGAAATGTATTATATAGTAAGATTTAATATGTGATTGTATTATATTTTGATCAAACTGAATATATTTTTATCTGATTTGATTCAATATGAAATCTGATTATTTTAATTATTGTTCGAAAAAAAAATTTGATCTTCATTGTTTCATGATTTTAAAGTAAGACATCAGTTGTAATTTAACTAACATTCAAAAAAAAATAGATTTGTTATTCCTATAAACGAATGGTCTCAAATAACAAATAATTATTGTAAATATAACAATATATAGATTACATGAAGTTTGTATACAAAAAACAAACAAGAAGTTTATTTATCAAAGCTTCAATCGTTATCCTTTTTGATTTACATTTGTTCAACAATTATATTGTATTTTATTGTTCTTCATAATATTATAAGTCTTTATTCTCGAAATTAATTTCACTTATACTATGATTTCATATAATCAATATATTTTTTTGTTTTATATTTTAACATATCTAATATAAATATTTAATTTAAAGTAGTGTCGAATGTAATAAAAAATGACATATTTTTCAAAAAACTAAATCCAATTGTTGAATATTGCCTTTCAAAAAGAGACAAAAAAAAACAGAAAACTTAATTCGTTACAATAAAGCTTCGAACTTCGATTAACAAATCAAACAACATAAGTTAATCTCATAATAGATGATTTGCGAACTTCTATCATATCCAAGTATTCAAATTTTTCTAGTAATTGAAAAGTTTTTTTCAAAAAAATTAAAGCCATTGTAAGAAATTGCTGAAGAGCATATTCTGATGTAAATATTCTAGTTCAAAAGCCGAATTTTGATGTTTCATTCAGAATATCATTCATTCTCGACGGCAATCTTTTATCATAGTAAAGATGTATCTCGTAGAAGCATTGGTTTTTCCTTGCAAAATTGATTTTTTTTTTTTTATTATAAATAAAGGTTTTTTTTTTTTTTTTTTTTTACAATCAGTAGATCTTTAATTATATGTTTTTATCATAAAAATAATATTTTAGTAATATTACATTTCATCAGTTTAGAAAAGTAAAAACAATTGATCATCGAAAAGAAATGATATATGATTACATATCTTCGTTAAAAATCATACTAGTATCAACTTTTTGTCGTTTATTTCCATCAGATGGATGCAAGTTAACAAAAGTTTCGTCTTCTTTTGGCGGTACATTCATAAATACATTTGTATTTGTTTTATGTGTTGATGTTACAGCTAGCGTTTGTTGACTTTGAGTTTGACCAAGAGAATATGAATCTTTACTATCCTTTTTGATGTTTCCTGATGATGATAAAGATTTTTTAAAGTAATATTTTTGAATTATAAAATAACTAAAACCACATATGAGACCAATAAGTAAAAGTATTCCAAGTACCAATCCTATAATTTGTTGTGTATTAAGTCCTCCATTTGATTCTGTTGAGTTTCTAGGACAAATATTGTTATTATATGATGAATTGTTTGCTTGATTGTTTGAATTGTCATCAGAAGCTTCAGAAGAATCAATTGGAGTACTTTCCTAGGATG